TGATGAAATTGCTGATAGTAACCATCATTCATCCTCATCGTCATCATCATCAACATCATCCTCATCGTCATCATCATCAACATCATCATCATCGTCATAATCATCATCATCTTCGTTGTCACATTCATCATTATCGTCGTCGTCATCATCACCATCTTCGGCATCATCATCAACATCATCTTCGACAACATCATCATCATCATCAGCAGCAGCATCATCATCGTGATTTTTGTTTATTTCCCATTCGCACAGATCATTCAGCAGGAGCGTTTAAACTCCTTCGAAACCATCACCACCTATTTTCTACTTTCGTCGTCATCATCACCACCACCACCATCATCATCATCATCACCACCACCGCCACAATCATCATCATTACCAACATAATCATCATCATTATCCTTCTGGTCATTATCATCATCACATCATCATCATCATCATCTTTCTGGTCATTATTATCATCATCATTGCGATGAAAATTAGCATTCTGTTTAAAATACACACACACATTTACAAAAACACACTTCATTATTATTACCACACCAGTATCATCACCATCATCAACAGCAACATCCTCATTGTGTTTCCACAACCATCACCATCGTCATCTTCGTTATCATTTCCACATAACCATTACCATCACCATTATCACCATCCTCACCATCACTATCATCACCATCATCATCATCACCATCATCATCATCATCATTGGCCTGTAACATAATAGCTATAAAAAATTTCTCTTTCGAAACCTGTTGAAATGTGCGTTCGCGTGTGTACATGTGTGTACATATACACAGATACATGTATACAGTCTGTGTATACATGTGTGTATGTATGTGTTTGTGTGCGTGCGTGTGCGCGTACATTTACATAATGTATGTTTGACAAGGAAGTGTATTATTGTTAAAGTTGAGAAATGAGGTCGTAGGTCAGAGCACGATCACGCACGTTACTTAGCCAGCCAGCCAGCCATCCAGTCGTGTCAGATGGGTCGCATGTTGCATACATTGGAATTGTGTTAATTCAGTGTAGTGATTATGAATGAGAATGAGGTATGAATCGTAAGAATGTGGCATGCCATTTTTAGTCTCATTCTTTTTTATCCTCACAAAATAATTTCTAGCAAGACTAACTAGGCAACTACTGCTACTACATATAGTGCTACTACTGCTGTTGTCGCTGCTACAACCACTACGACCACCACTACAACCACCACTACAACCACTACTACAACCACTACTACAACCACTGCTACAACCACTACAACTACTACAAGAACAAATATTGGTACAGTACGGCTATAACAATATTTACAAATTATGATCATACTTATGATTATTGCATCGGTATTGACATAGCACGATGTAGTAATCTGCAAATAATTCAATGAAAATAGGACAACGATGGGAAATTATTTTAATCATATAGACCGCTTAATTCGCTAATTAATCAGCCAACAAACTTAATTCAGTGAATAAACATGAATAAATTATCATAAATTATAATACATTTTAATAAATAAATAAATAAACAGCTAAAACTAAAGATCATTCTTTGGATACTAACAGCCAAGTGATAGAGCAACTCGCTGGCGAAGATAGGATGGTGATGACGAAGACGATGTTGGTGATGATGATGATGTTGCCAACGTAATGGAGGATCATTATCAGGGGAGTCATAAGTTTTTCCATACTCGTATTGTGGGTATTAACTTGTTAATCCAGATTTGTTTTTTTTTTATTATTTTTGTTGTTTATTTGTTGTTGTCGTTGTTGTTGCCTGTCGTAGTATTAGTAGTAAGGGTAGTAGTAGTGTTAGTAGTAGTGTTAGTAGTAGTAGTAGAAGTAGTAGTAGTAGTAGTAGTAGTAGCAGTTGTTTTGTTGTTGTTCTTTCTATTGTTTTTGTTGCAGTCCCAAATTAATGTCCCTGCGATAGTCTGTTTTTCTTCACTTAATAGCCTTCTATATGGATTTTTTTTTTAAAGTCAATCTCATTTATTTTTTAATTGATCAATTAATTAATTTATTTTTCATTAACGATTTTATTAATTTTAATGCCTACTATAACCACACTTCATAGAATGCTGCCAATTATTGTAAATTATTATTTTATTGATTTATTTATTTTCCACAAATCTTACATATAATTTTGACATTCTACAAAAGACCGTTATAAAATTAAAAGGATTAATTTAAAGAATGTTAACTGACTTATATTTAACTATAATGGCATATATGTATTGCTTATTGTACTAAACTAACCGTATTTAAATACTCTTGTACTAACAATAGTACTCATGTACTTCAGTATTTACGGTTATATTCTTTGTACTTAAGTATCAACTGATATACTATCTTATGTATTTTAGTATCAACTGATAAACTATCTCATGTATATAAGTATCAACTGATATACTATCTCATGTATTTTAGTATCAACTGATATACTATCTGATGTACTTAAGTATCAACTATACTATTTACGTTGTATTTTATTTTCCATGTAACGGTGTAGGTTTTCGGAGGAATCCATGATAAAATAATTTGAAACATTTTTTATCAAGTTCAATATCATAGTATAGTTTTCGATTTTCTAATTTATCATCAGTCAGTCAATCAAGCTAAGTAGATACAATTAATTAATTAATGGTTAATTAATTTATTAAATAATCAATTTATTTATATATTTATTTATTATTTAATTATTTTTTTTGAGATAGTATTTAGATTTTTATTAATTTAATTAATTAGAATAATTTTCCATCAGCGGGTTATCGCTTAATTAAATATTTTCACTATTATTTCAAATTGACGATGAAAATGATAATGAAATGATATAGGTAGCGGTTTAGCTAAACTCTAATGATTAAGATGGTGACCATCTAAGTAATGATAACAACAGCACCGGTAAGCCAACTGATCATATAGCATAACAATATCAAAAATCAATATCAATCAATATCAGTATCGTTAATATCAATAATTAATGATAATAAATGATGATATATATATATATATATATATATATATATATATATATATATATATGATAAAAGTGATGAATCCAACAAACGCCGATGATGACGCTAATAACGATGATAAAGATTGACGATGATGATAAGAATGATGACGACGACGATGATGACTACATTTCAAACGCCGTAATGGCTTTAACACAACGAATTCAACACAGATTTTGAGCTGATTGTTTGGCCGCTTTTGTTGTATATATATATACGTACAAATATCTAAACACATACACACACATACACATATGTGTTATATATGTATAAATTGTATATGTATACATATATATGCATACTTAACATGGCGTTAATAATACACACACGCACACACACACACTTATATATTTGTTCATTTGTATAGATTTTTATATATTATATTATGTGTATTTTGCAATGTATATGTGTACGTGTGTATGCGTGTATAAATAATTGTATCTATGCTATTGTATATAAATTCATATACACACACACATATATATATATATATATAATATATATACACATTGCTATATACACATGCTACGCATGTGTAAATGATACGATGGAACGTGTCTAACAAAACGCTAAAAAAATTTAATTCTGTCTGCAGGTTTATGTAACAAAAACAAACAAAACTCTGAGAAAAATAAACAGATAAATATATAGACACATTCACACAGACGCACACACACACATACACATGCATACAAACACAAACACAAACAAGCACATGGCGTATGAACACGTACATCCGACAATACAACGTTTGTTATGCTTGCATTCGCGTTTTTTTTATCAGCGTTAACAAAGTCTGCCATAAATTGATGCCAGTGCGTTTAAGTTGAGAATTGTTTGTCGTGGTTGTTGTTGTGGTTGTTGCTGCGGACGTTTTTGTCGTTGTGGTGGTTGCTTTTTTGACGTCGTATGTGTTGCTCGTGATATAGCTGTATTTCAATTGCCGGGACATAATTGCTTTTGGTTCTTGGATGTTTCTTACGTTGAAATATTTTTGTTGCGATTGCTTCAATAGTTGTTGTTGTTTAGTGTTGAATGATAATAGAGTAGTAAGTATTCTTTCTGATAGGCTGCATGTTGCATGCTATGTGCGGTTGTTAGTTCGATAACTCGTTAGCGATGGTGATGATGAGAATTGAGAATGATGAGGAGGAAGACGACGAAGATGCTGCTGACAATTTTATTTCCTTTTTATTTGAGGATTCTCTTTTATGGATGTTTTCGCGCTGGTAATCATTTGATTATTTCAATTTCATTGCCAGATATGATATTTTTATACCCTCTTTGTAGGGAAACTGCGAGATTTATATTGGCGTCTTTTCAAAAGTTAGTAAAATTAGTTCGGAACTATTTGTAAAATACATTTCTTAATGTTCTGTGGATATCTTTAAATACTGTCAAAGAAATAATTGCTATTTTATCTCATTTAAAAAGGCATTTTGTTTTGAAATCTTTTTTTTTATCTAACTAATCAAAACCAAACTCTTTTGCTATTATGACTGTTAAACTGAACGTAAATAACATTTTTCACTAAAAGAAAATTATTGATTTAAAAAAGGAACGAACATATATGGCGTTGAGATTACCTCCTGGAAAACTAACTGGTCTTGTTTTGAAGTGCTGATGATCTACGTAACTTGTCAATGCGCAAATGACGTCATGTTTTAGGTTACTAAATAAACAAAATTTCATTTTTTACGTAAATGTTTGACAAGGTTGATTATACCATTGAAAATCCTATGGTATTGTATACAAAATTGGTATTGTGTAGCATATCTTTGTGCAAAATGCTATTTCGTTAGAATAGCATCTATAAGCTAATAATAAATTATGTTTGAAATGTTTTATACAACTATTTAAAAAGTTTTATCATACCATAAGTCTTTCCACTTCGGATTAAACTTTTTCTCTTCATCACCATCTTTGAATTAATATATTATTTATAAATATAGTTCTTTGCCCATTTAAAAGTAAACGACCGACGAGACCCAGACACAACGCAGCAGCGGGTGAGTATTTTCATCATCAAATTCATCTTTTCGTCATCGGATCATTTCATTTTGACGGTCATCAAATGCCGGTTCATCTTTTAAGTTTTGTAAATTGGTCATAATGCTTGTTTGGTAAATTTCTAACTTTCCTGTCATCTGTCTACCCTACCTTCTACTCCACTAGTAGTACTGTACAAGTAGAACTAGTTCTAGTAGAAGTACAGTACCAGTGCAGTAACAGTTTAGCAGTCCATCCAAGTTGTCTGGTGGTACATCAAGGAACACGCACACAAACAGACACACACAATTAAATGTCTCTGTGTGTTATTTTTCTTAAATATAATATAATATATAAATTGAATAATTAATTATTATTAAAATTTTAATTTAATTATATGATCTTAACTGCTCATTTTTGATTAGTGAAAAATTACATTGGACTGCTTAGTCTCATGATTGATCACCACATCTTCATTTTGCTTTTTTATTTATTTTATATTTATTATAATTATATTTATGACCAAATGTTAAATTTTTAGCTAATTAATAAATAAATTATGAAATTATCATTAGCGTTATCATGATTGTATAAAATTAATATCTGCAATTTATATTTTAAAAAATTTCACTATTTTAAAATTAATGAAACTCTATAGTCTAGGTTTAGTTAGTGGTGAAAGTGATAGCCAATAAGAATAAATTATCTTAGAAGAGTTATGTCTACAAAGTCAGGTGAATATGGAAATCCTCTGCAAAAGTTCAAACTTGTTTTCCTTGGTGAACAAAGTGGTATGTCTTTTTATAATTACCGTCAATGTTTCACATTTTTCTGGTCTGTGATTAAAGTTTTAAATTAATTATTTGTTTGACTCATTAATTAATTAACTGATTTATTTTATATTGATTTGGTAAATCAATCAATCAATTTCAAATCAATCATTTTTCTGGAGATCAGTTAGTTATAATAGATGATTTAAATTACATGATAATATAAGATATTGATAAAGATATTTTGATTTTTTATGTTTTTCTGCACTGCTAGACTAAAAACTCTTCTCATTAATGAAAATAATTTGAGAAGTTTAACATATTACTTAATAATTTCACTAGAATTGCTTTAATCAAACAAATTTTTCATAGTTGGAAAGACTTCATTGATAACTAGATTCATGTACGATAGCTTCGACAACACTTACCAGGTTGTTGGCGTAGTTTGCGGTTAAAATAAGAATAACTTTATTGTTTAAAAGTAAATC